TCCAAGTACGTTTCCGGTGGATAGATCTTTTGAGAGATCCGTCATTACGTCTGCTAAGGCACACATCAAGAAAGGGAATACTTAATTCGAACTCCTTTTCTACGGTGAATTGTAAAGAAGGATGGCAGTTGTTGAAAGCAAATAAGACATCATCAAGAATTACATTTTTATCGCAGATAACGAAAGTGTCGTCTACGTATCTTTTATAAATGTCAAAATGACCGATGGTTTGACTAAGTTGAGAATTTTCAAGTACTCAAAGGATCAGATCGTGATGATCTACGCCGGGTGTACCGTTGACCAGCTGAAAACTAAACAAGCGAAACGGTCATGCAGAGTTTAGATGACTTCAATCTGGCTGGAAATTACTTCTTTTTGAGTCACTGCCAACAACTCATACCAATCAGTAGCATCTATCATTACGCATCTAAACTTGCTTGCTTTAACTGTCATCCATACCGTAAAACACAAGACAGATACTGACCTGAATATTTTCGATTTCCATAAACAACTGCGGAATTAGCGAAATGGGAGTTTTGAGTACACCTAACTACCTAGTTCTTCGACGAAACAGTCGTTCAGTACTCCCAGGTTTTCCAGTGGTTCTCTAACTGATGTCAGCCCATGATGAAGTCCTCCATGCAGTCAAACAAAATCCTTACAAAACCAATACTTGAAAAAATGTAGCTGTCGACATAGTGAACACTTTCGTACTCATTTCCCTATTGAAAAGCAATTCGTACTCCATGAAGCCAAATCAATTATGATAGTAGTTATTGGATAAATAGTAATGTGTTGCATTGTTCATTTCTAAATATCAGAACAAAGTCAGTAGGGGATATAGAAATGATGTTGCATAATTTATATTTAAAGAAAGTCAAAAATAATATGCTCTTCTGTCAGAACACTATATACATATATATATATATATATATATACATATATATATATATATATATATATATATACTCTTCAATATAATTCCCGACTCGAGTACTATCCGTGTTTGTTTTTCTGATCTTCTCATAATTGGTAGCTCCTAAGGAAACCTACAGGATATACGAAACCTCCATCCAATAAGCGTCAACAACCGAATTGGAGAAGTTTCAGTGAAGAAGCATATATGTCACGTGTTTCTTTGAAATGTATTCATGAAACTGGTCCCAAGTGGATTACACATTACCCCGCATTCCGATCATTTTTGATTCCTAATAATCGTGATATATATTACCTGATTATTTTAGATTGTTATTATCCCTACCGCCTCTACATATCTATCCACCACAAATTTATTGGTAAGCCAACACAGTTAATTATAGTCACATCAGTTATTCCACATATTACAGGATTTTCATCATGAGCTGACATTAGTTAGAGAACCATTGGAAAACCATCTGGGAGTACTGGACAGTTGTTTCGTCCTAGTTTGGGACTCACTCAGTACGCACCCACACTGTGGGGTTCGAACCCAGGACCTTCTGGTTACAAGGCAACCTCGTATACAATTAAGCCACTGGGACCCGATCCAGTGATCCATGAATTCCAACTTCTGCCAATTCACGACATAGCGCGACCCCTAGCCATTGTCTTCGGCGAGTATTTGTTCTCCAATGGTTCTCTAACTAATGTCAGCTCATGATGAAATTCCTGTAACCAATCAAATCCCTACAAACCAACACTTGAATATTCCACATATTATCGTTGTTCATTATCTCGATGGTCATGTAACAGTTCCCCCCTGGAATTGTCTAAGACATCTACTAAAACAACAGGAATATATTGGTAATACATGAAATCTGAGCATAAATCCATCAAATGTATGCAATTCTGTATTTCCAGTATTGATACACAGGCTCAGGAAGACTCGCAAACTAGAAAATAATGGTGCCGTCTGTTACTGGTAACAGTTAAAGTTGTCCATTTTACGTGAGGTACAAGATTACAAGCAATTTATGCATACTAGATACAGGAGCATGAGTTAGTGTCCACCCTGCTTCATTATCAATATAAGGTCTGCAAATATAGCACAGAAATTGTCAGTATGCGCTGCCGACTGACTGATAGGAGAAGTTAGGTGCCAATCATATCAACCGATAGTGCTTTTTCACAATAGATCACCTTAAATATGTAGACCTTCTAAAGTGCATGGGCTTTATCCACCGCATATATATATATGTATATTACGAAATGATTATCCAGAGAAGTTCTTTGAAAAGCAGATGAATGTAAACCCAAGGCGAGTTAATTTACCAACAGTTACAAAGAAGACCTTATTCTTAAAACTTCAATTCCTTGGTGAAAACATCATTGAATTAATAACACAACACTCAGAGAGTGCAATAAAAAAAGCATTTAGTGACAGATCTCTTTCTTCTTCTTCACAATCACTCCAATTCTACGTTCGAGAGTCAAGAATAAACTGTGTAATCTTGCCTCCTCTATGTGTATCTACCATCTCGACTGCTCATGTGAAGACAGTTACTTTGGGCGTACAATTAGGTATATTGACCACTGGATTTCCAAAAAGCATCCTGCGTAGCTTAGCAAGTGATAGACTAGCTCTATTCACAGCTTTATTCTAGCTCATATTGGTAGATACTCAATACATAATCGATATAAACAAGGATTTCAAAGTTATCTACCGTATTGCAACCAAAATATTACTTTTGCCTTACGAATTAGCCATTTATACATAGAGCTAAAGCCATCAAATTTACCTTACGAAGCATAACAAATATGCTGAGAAGTAATTCTTCCAGTCACCCATCTTAACGTGGCCATCAGTGTTTTAACTAACCTTCATTTTTGCACAAATTTTCTTATTAGTTTTACCTGATATTCAACTTAGTATTACATTTCTCTATGCTTATAATCACACTTACACATGCTTTTGGATCTTGATTCTGTCGATATTATTTAAAAAATATCAGTATTATCAATAATAATTACTCTTTAAGTATATATGTAAATAACTGAAGAGCCGGATGAGGAAGATATCGAAAAGAAAATCCTTCCTATAACATTATTTTGTCGTCTAAATGTCTGATATTGAGTTGTCTGGTAATGATTACTTATTGTTGGTATTAGGTGGTTGGAGGCAATCGGCAGGAAGACTTGGACCTAGGTTTCGTGCTAGTTGGCACTCATCAGCAAGGCGTATCTGCAACCTTCAAGGAACTGATGTCCCTTCTGAGATTCGAACCCGCGTCACCCAGTGCTATAATCAGAGACGTTACACTGAGCTATTCAGGCTCACGACTGATCTCCTAAAGGACATTAGGATATTTTAGATTGCACACTGGTGAGTTGCGTAATAGCACGAAACCTAGGTCCAAGGCTTCCTGCCGACTGCCTCCAACCACCTAATACCAACAATTCATAGTGCACCATAATGGCGAGCCACTTAGCATGGTGGCCACATTGACTGATAGAATTCAGTCTGCACCAAAGATAGGACTAGACACATTACACTAGTTACTGACTAGTGTGCAATGAAAAATGAAGACTTATGAAACTTCTCGTTATATGAAAACGCTACACTAGTACCTCCACCGCTAACAACTTTATACTTCATCAGAACTGGCAGTTACGCAATCAATTAAGACCACACACACATAATGCTGTGTTGAAAATATAATCTCCAGGCAAAATGTTTGACCGATTGATGTTTACTACTATTGATTATTTCAGTAGTAAAACGTTTTTCAGCAAAAGAGAACAAACTTCAATCAAATTCTCAACTAGTAATTTACACAGTTCAAAGATATATACGGAGTTACTAATTCCCCCAGTTAGTTAGGGGGAAATCGGTTTGTCTAAACTAATTTGCCCCTCTGAAGTGAGTTACATTGGGTATGGAGCTGATGAGCACAGCCACAAACAAGTAGAACGGCGTCCAATGTTTTTAAAACTTAGATATGGCTGGCATGCAATCACTACTGGTTGATGTGACTGGTATGCGTATACTCATTCCAGTTAGTCAGTAGCACATAGTCCCACTTAGAGTTTACACGGAGAAATTTTAAAAAAAAAATCAACACATCATCATCAAGTATGGAAGATCTGAAGTCATAAATGAAAAACAAATCACAGTAAGAAAAAAGCCAATCTACTTTCAGCTTCATTATAAAGGCGAAAACATTGCAGCGATGATCAACAGAAGGCTGAGCACATCACTAGCCATAGCCTATCCTGCAGCTAAGCTCGTTCCCGTCTATCGAACAACTTGCTCTTTGATGCAATCAAAAATCGATAGATATCCTTCTCATGTTAACTCCAACTGTATATACAAATTTACATGTATCTGCGGGAGCAGTTACATTGGAAGAACAGAAAGAAGAAGGGCATATCTACGATTTTCTGAACATGTACCAAAAAGCTTACGTCTAAAGGGAACAAATGCTTTAAGCAGTGCCATCGCCAGGCATCTCCTCGACACGGGTCATGAGGTGGACGTCGAAAAGTCGTTCAAAATTATCAATAAGCAAAAGAGCTCAATTCTCCTCAAGTTTGCTGAAGCCATTTCCATCAAGCGCCTGAAACCTGATTTGTGCGTTCAGAAAGAAGTGGTTATCAGTCTTTCTTTGCCCTGGTAACTAGATATTTTTCATCCGAATGCGAGATGCTGAAAAGTTTTCATTGTGTATGATTATTATTGTTCGGAATTGTGTTTAATATTGCATATATATATGTATATATTATTAGTGTATGCATATATTGATCGATTGATTTTTGTTTAAAATGAACTCTGTGCAAGTATGTTAAATTGTTTTTGTAGATACATTTAATAATGTCTTTGCCCTGTAAGCAGCTGACGAGAAGGCAACGAAATAAAAGATGGTACCATTTTATTCTGCTAAAACTGTAGTTCTTGCTTTGTTCAAATTCATTAAGGGGAATAAATGTATGAAAAACACTTTTATTATTATAAAATCGTATTGTGATTGTTACTCATTAAATATGTATACAATAATAGTAAAAACGGATCAATGGATTGTTAAAAAAGAAACGATTATAACACTGGAATTGTTCATAATTATATTATTCAATTTCTACGAATTTTCGCCTTAGCAGACACATCGATTTCATTTGTGATGGATTTCAATGTTCTTTTCATCGCTGAATTTCGTTGTGAAACTGGATTAACTCTCTATTTAAAAAAGTAATTAGATCAATATAATTAATAGAAAATAAAACATTATAATTTATTTCATTGAATTCTGAAACTTTGCTAACAAAAGTTACGTAACAGCCTATTAATATATATATACATATTTAAATGCAGTTGGTAATAGAGCTGCTGCCACCCCACCACACACCGATTTGACATTAATGATACCAACTGCTTACCTAAACACACCTTCTCGGTAGGTGGATGGAGTCTTAGACGCACTAACCATCGCCTCCCCCACCCCGATGGGCATTACTAGCTAGCTGATATAGGTGCAGGTTGGAAAAGAGTAAGTGGTGGCCAAACAAAAACATCGCATCAATCAATCCATGAAATCCTTCCTTGACAGTTAAACTGAGTCAAGTCAGGTAGGGAGATGCAGACTTCCGGGTTGGTTGGGGCCCGCCCTCGGGACTCTAAGAATCAATGGCTGGAGACAGACAATAGGTGACATGGCTCAAAATCGTTGTCAATGGCTTACGCAGATGTATTCAGTCTCTGTAATATTCAGTCTCATATTCCTTTCTACCATTACTCATTCTGTTTCACTCTTATACTTGTCAAAACTCTATTGATTCTCTTCACTCATCTTCTTGTCTTGTCTACCTTTGTGTGCTATTTGGAACGTGGCAACTCGAACTGCTGCACTTCGGTGCCAAGTTCTATGTTGAATCCAGACAGACAGGCAGACTGATAGACTGAGCAGTTTGTTGGCCAATGTGGCCTTAGCGTTACATTTAAAAACGGAAAATAGAACTTTGAGTTTTAGAAAGCACTCCACAGAAATCATATACATCTCCAACTCGAAAACTGTTCAGCACCATCACCACCACCACTAAAAACCTAATTGATTCTACTAGTTCACGTACATTTGAGCTAAAGTGAAACATATAATAGAGATATTCTGCTTTGTTTAGTGAATTTGGTACTATGGTGAAGAAAAATAGAGCTGAGAATGTTCAGACCTCAAACCCGAGCGATCCCAATAAATTTATTTTCAATCACTAATCATTCACTTAATCAACGTTAAGCAAATTTTAAATAACGAAAAACTTCACATATATGTTCAGTTGGAGAATCCAACCAGTGCAACAAGTGATACTAACCGAATCTCTGACAAGGAATTCCTACTTAGGTTGAATACTAGGCAGTAAGTAACTAGTACCATGTGTCTAGCCCTTTATTTGGCGCAGACTGAATTCTATCAGTCAAGTTTGTGATGTAGCCACCATAGTAGTTTGCCATCGCGATGTACTCCAAATTGTTGTTCCTAGACTATTGGAGGTCATCGACAGGAAGCTTTAGATTTAGGTTTTGTACTTGTTGGCACTCATCAATAAGCTGTGTCTGAAGCCTTGAAGCGACTCAGATCCTCTTTAAGATTTGAACCCGTGTCATTCGGGTGTTGTAGTCTATAATCTTTGATTGCTGTAACCAAATTCTCGACTAAAAAAAATTAAGTTTCAGTATCCATAGCTTGCTCCATGCCCAACGTTCCTTTTTTTTGAGCTTACTACAAGCTAGTAGAATAGGCAGTTTAAGAGTGCATCGGCAAATAATTGAACCCAGACATCCTGCATAGACGAAGTGTACAGGTGATAGGTTTTCTGAATTAAAGTTTCCTTTAAGACAAATAATGGTACAGAAGTGAATGCAAGCATTCGCATGGATAATCTTCGATCAAATATATAAAAGAAACAATCCTATCTACGTGAGAGGAATACTGAAAATTTTCACTAGAATATGAAACTGATTTTAGGGAATAAACTTTCTATATGACATTTAATTGGTGGATGGTGACTAGCAGTGGAATCCAGGATATACGTTTCGTCCTATTTGGGACTAGTCATCTGGATGTACCTGCATTTCTGTGAGTGATGTTTCCACTGAAGCTGAGGAGTCCCAAATAGGACGAAATGCGAATCCTGGATTCCACTGCTAGTCACCATCCACCAATTAAATACTAATTAAATGCTCAGACACCGTCGAAGCAGCTGCTCAAGAAGCCGACATGTCAACCTGAGACCGAGCACTTCGGGAAAATCTAAAATTCAATTTCTATATGACAGTTAGTACCAGACAGTTGACATGATAATTTGGACCTAGGTTTCATGCTCACTGGCACTCATCAGCCAGTAGAATCTACAACTCTGAAGGATATACTTAACCCACCCATGGAGACTTGAACAAGAATCACTCTTTGCTGCAGTAAGAGACATTAACACTACACTATTTGGAATCACAACTGGTCGGATGTAGGAGTGTAACAGATACATTAAACTATACCTAAAAAGTGAATAACATCATAAGTCTACTATTGATGCTTAACTGAATTCCATCAGTCAAGTTTGCGGTGCACTTTGAATTGATGTTGGTTAAGTGTTTGGATGTGTTGACCACTACGCTTATTGGGGAAATTGTACCCAACCCAATGATCTGATAACTGATGAAATATGAACAAGGATACATATACTAATATATTATACAAATGCCGATTCAAATTCCTCTCAAAGGCCTACCACACGAAGGTCCCGTTGACGCCTGTCTAATTCATCTCTATTTCCTACTATATATTTGTCGGGTAATAAGTTCTTGCTGGTTTGCTGTCCACCGGAGTTTCTTATTGCTGATGCGTTTTGGTTGGACATCTGACCTGCTGTATCGAGTAGATCCAGCTACGGATGAGTCTGTGGTCTGTCAGGAACGCTTTCGCTGACAGGTGGGATGCTTCACCTGAGAATTTCCACAAGTTTTTAGTAGGTTTGTCATTTTCAAGACATTTACTTTGTGAGAGAGAGATATCCTGTGAATGATGATTCTGTGTCTGCTAGTGATGTGTATTACCCGCAAGTTATAGGTGGTGGTGGTCATTTCAAGAAACGTGATCAGCTTAGAGCTTTGCCTCTGTGGTTTCATTCACTGACTCTCACTGGCGTCATCTGAGTTGATCTTTCCCCGGATAGTGGTCTAATTATTTGACACACCAGTCGTGCGAAGTCTTGCTTACCTTCAGCCAGTTCTGTTTTAGTTTCTAATTAATCATAAAAGCGTTTTGCTATCTTCCCTAACACACTCTTCTTCACTTCTTTTACAAGACGGAAATTAACACAAACTGTGATTTTAATTAATGCAGACATGATATTAAATTTATTCATCAACCTTATTCAACAGCTGTACGACAACGGCACATGTCAAGTGATCCACAACAGAAAACTCAGCGAGGCGTTTGAAGCAAACACAGGAGTCAGACAAGGGTGCTTATTATCACCAATGATATTCCTAATTGTGGTGGACTGGACTGGATTATGCGTCAGACAGTGCGAACCGAGAAGACAGGAATATCCCGGACCGACGTGAAGAATCTAGAAGACCTGGATTTCGCCCTTCGATGATTTATGTTTGATGTCACACAAAGTTGAAGACTTACAAGCGAAAACCGACAAACTGGTCGATAAGAAGGATCAGCAAAGACAGGACTGACTCCAGGTGAACATAGACAAGACGGAGGTTATGAAAATAACCAACCAACAACAACAACAGCAGCAACATCCAGCGCCACTCACCATCAACGGGAGGGATTTGAAAGAGGTTACTTCATTCACTCACCTATCTAGGGAGCATTGTCTCAACTACAGGCAGACGGAAGGGACGAGGATGTGAAATCGAAACACATTCATCAACCTGAAACCAATCTGGAAATCTTCGTCACTCAACCCAGCCAGCATCAACAACAAAAATCGGATTTTCAATACAAACGTCAAGTCACTTCTTCTATACGGATCAGAAACTTGGCGGCGGGTCACAAAGAATATTTCCAACAGCCTGTTGCACACCTTTATCAACAACTGTCTTCGCTCTATACTGAAGATCAGATGGCCGGAAAGAATCACCAACAAGAAACTATGGGAACAAACAAAACAAACAAGAACCAATCGCCCAACAAATATGCAGGATAAAGTGGAGATGGATTGGACACTCACTGGATGAGGAGGCCACTCGCTGGGTGACATAGCGCGTCAGGCCATAGCTCGAGTGGAACCCGAAAGGGAAGCGGCGAGTGGGACGTCAGTGCAAGGGTGACATGGAGGAGATCGTGTGAAGAGGAGTTGAAACAGTATGGACTAACATGGCTGCAGGTGAAAAGTACAGCAGAAGACAGAAACAAGTGGAGACGTGCAGCTGAAGCCCTATGTTCCACTAGAAACCCAAGGGAACAATAATATAATAATAATAATGATATCAAATTGGGAAAACTTAATTAACAGAATCATAATTAGTAGTAAATGCACTGGAAAATACACCGCTGGTTTCGTCTTCCAGAGTTACCGAACTTATATCCAATATAGCGTCATTCCTACGAGTTCCCAGTGGAACACAAGAGCGGCTTTAGGTTTCAACTTTGAAGTTTCAGTAGCAGCAGCAGCAGTGTCTCTTTTACGTGGTTAGGTTACTAATATTACGCCTAACCATCACGCTGCAACGAGCTCACAACCATCTAAGAGAGAGGTAAAGATGCTCACCGGCCGACAATCGAACTCGGGACCACGTGCATGGTTGGCGAGCATTCTACCGTTGAACCATCGGAAACACACACACACACAATATACAACATAAATTTTAGCGAAGAATAAAGAAGATAAATAAGCAAAAATTTAAGAACAACAACAAGAATAGATAGATTCACTTACTCTAAGCAATAAAGGCGTTTCAGTCCGTGATTTCGATGTAGAATTTGATGATGTTGAAGACGACATATTTTCGATATCTTCATCATTTTGTGCACTTAATAATAAAGCGGCTGGATCAATGTCATCCTCGACATTGCCACCATCATCATCATCATCATTACCACTATCATCACCGTCTTCATTGTGAACGTCACTATCAGCTTCAGAACTTTCATCCTCTCCACTCTCATCGTCTTCTTCTTCACCATCAACGTCCTCCTCATCTTCCACGTCCTCCTCCTCTCCTTCTTCTTCTTCATCATCATCAACATCACATCATCATCTCCATGTGGATGTTCATCAACCTCCGGATTAGCATCCTCACTCTCCGTTCCATCTTCAACTGGATGAACACTATTCACAGGTTGATTGTCTACATTATTCTCATCATCATTATCATCATCTATATCACTAAGACTGCTAACACTCAAAGGAGCAGCAGATTGTTCTAAAGTAGCAACCAGTGTAGCTTGATTGATACGAAAATCTCGAGATGTACTCAATTTTACATTACGCATAAGATTAACCTGAGGAGTTTACAAAAACACAAAAAACACAAGAAGAATTCCCATAAGTATCAAAAGAAAATTATTTAAGGAAAGTAAGTGAAATAATTAAATGTTATAAGGCAAAGGTAATATAAATTCATTCAGGGCTTAATTTAGACTAAGAGTTACATAATTCATGAATAATTATCATCATTTAATATACTGTGCAATAACTCTGAATGGTAACAAACGTAAATCACATTGTTTCCTATATTAAACGATTATTATTATATTATTATTGTTTCCTTTAATTCCTAGAGGAACATAGGGCTTCAGCCGTGCGTCTCCATTGCGTTCGGTTCTCTACTAGAGTCTTCACTTGGCTCCAAGTCTGCCCACATGCTTTCATCTCCTCTTCAAATGACCTCCTCCAAGTCACCCACCCTCGAACTGACGACCAACTCGCCGCTTCCCATTCATTCGAACAATGGCTTGTCTAGTGATGTCACTTGATGGTTTGTTTCCTCAGAGTATGACCAGCCAATCCATCTCCATTTCTTCCTGCCTGCCTATTTGTTTCACAATCGGTTCCTGCTGAGTTGGTTCGCTCATTGCCAGAGATCCCTGTCTGTTGCTGATCTTTTCTGGCCGGCCATCTGATCTTGAGTGGTATTGAGCGAAGACAGCTGTTAATGAAGGTGTGTAGTTTGTTTGAGATTAATATATACGCAGGTGAATCATTAATATTCATTATTTATTTCACACACTAGCATAATCATTGATTTCACGCATCTGCGTGATTATTGATCTAAATTACTGAATTCCCAAGGTTGTTAATATTTTTAAAATGTGACATTGATTTTTCTAATTGTATAAATACGGAGTTGTTGTTTAACATTTTCGACTGTTGTTTGAGACAGTAAAAGCTCTCATATCAACGTCCAGTCTTCTCTTTTATTTGTCTTGCGTGCCCGGCGGTATTATTGTTGTTGTTGTTGACGTGCGATTAGGACAGATTAGCCAGCGCATTAGTTAGATTCGCTCGTAGTCTACAAGGTCCTCATATTCATAGCTCTTCATGACGCGCAGTGCAAGTCTCTGATCCATCCGTATAGTGAGTAGCACTGACTGACTTCACATTGGAGTTGAAAATCCGGATCTTATCTTCGTTTTGATGCTGAGTAGGGCAGTTGACCTCCACACAGACTTGAGAGTAGTGAAAGCTTGTCTTGCTTTTCTGATCCTTGCTGCTTTGATATCCTCGTCAGTTCCGTCTTCCTGTAGTCGAAACGATGCTTCCCAGGTAGGTAGGTAGGTAAAGGAGGTTGTTTCTTTCAGGTTCCTTCCATTTATGCTGATTGTTGTCTGTTGTTGTTGCTGTTGGTGGTGTTGCTCAGGAATCTTCATCACCTCTGTTTTCTCTATGTTCACCTGAAGTCCTATCTTCCCTAGATGATTCTTCTGCCAACTTATTGCTTTTCACTTGCATATCTTCCAGTTTGTGAGAAATCAGACATTTATATGTTATCGGCGAAGTCCAGATCCTCCAAGTTGGTTTTTTGTGTGAGTCCATTTTCTGCCTGTTTCCTCATTTCCCGCTGTTTGCCACATTATCCAATCTACTGCAATCAGGAAAATCATTGGCGATAGTAGGCAGCCAGCCAGCTTGTCTTACTCCTGTTCTCACTTCGAAGGATCCCGTAATCTTCCCGTTGTGGATTACTTGGGATGCAGCATTGTCGTACAGCTGTTGGATGAGATGTATAATTGTTGGTGACACCCCGTAGTAGCGAAGTAGTTGCCAAATCACCTCTCGATCGATGCTGTCGAAGGCCTTTTCAAAGTCGATGAAGTTGAGATAGAGAGGTGACTGCCATTCCAAGCTTTGTTCAATGATGATCCGTAATGTGGCGATCTGATCAACGCGTGACTTGTTTCTACTGAATCCAGTCTGTTCCGGTCGAAGTTTTTCATCCAGGGCATGTTTGATTCTCTCCAGGATGATGGCGTCTTAGTATTTTGCTTGGGATAGACAGGAGCATAATTCCGCGCCAGTTCTTGCATTGACTTAAGTCTCCTTTCTTTGGTAGTTTGAATCAGTAAGTATCCTTTCTTCCAATCCTCGGGTACTTTACCTTCTTTCCACACCTTCTCCAGTAGTGGCGTCATCAAGTCCGCTGTTGTTTCTGGGTCCATTTTCAACGCTTCTGCTGGGATTCCATCTGGTCCTGCTGTTTTTCCAGCTTTTAGCATCTTGATTGCCTTCAGGACTTCTGATTTCGTCGGGGGTTGGTGTTCACTCTTAGCTCTGTCTCCGTTGTTGGTATTGTTGGGCGCGTTGTAGGTGGTGATCGATTTAGGAGTCTTTTGAAGTGTTCAGCCCAGTGTTTCCTTTGCTCCACTTCTTTGGTGATTGACTTTCCATTGTCATCCTTCACGATAAGAGAGCAAAATCATTTATTATTCTAATTACTCAACTCATCATTGGCTCACTATCTTAAACACTCAGTTTTTAGCCGAAGGGCTCAGAGGTTCGAGTGCCAATCCATACCTACTTCAACCTGAGCCATAGGATAAGTGTGCCTATTATTCCGGAGAATTGAATCTTAAAAAAAACACTCTCCCTAGATTCAGACTAAATTAGGATAATCATTTCAGTTCTTTACGCGATAGTGAAAAATGGTTACAGAAAGTGCAGAATATAACTTAGTCGACAGTGTTTTGCCTATAGATGTATTCATTCCATTGCGCATTTCACATATAATCGCAGATTACTTGGGCTGGATGTGGAATGTTATTTAAGTTATTTAAGTATACCACTTGATACAGTGTTTTGTTAGGAGTTCAGTTAACCGGGATAAGTGTCTTTCATGTACCAGACTCTGAACCACACTGATCGTGTGATGGCTGATGATAAATATCCAGTTGACCAAGCTACAGTAGCTGCAAAATCAGGTAGTACTGGACACCTGTTTCGTCAATAAAATCTACAACAGTTAGTCTAAGCCAGTCAAGTAGGAAGGTGTAGACTTCCTGACTGGTTGGGGTCTTTGAGACGGTAAAAACCAATGGTTGGAAACTATTGGTGACATGGCTCAAAATCGTTCTCAGTAATGGCGCAGATGCATCCACTCCTTGTGACTTATGATTTCCAATGAAACTGTTTTGTTCTTCGTTATTACCATTCCTTTGTCTCACACCTCTGTTTACTGTCTCTAATATGCATTTCTTCTACTTTCTTCTCTTGCTTTGTGTGCTACAAGGAGGGAGTGTGGCGACTTGAACAGCCGCACATATGTGCAAAGTTCTATGTCGAAAACCGACCGATCGACCTGTTCCGTCCAAGTCTGATACTACTCAAAAGTAATCACCCACCAGTGTTCGAAACCAGGAGCTTCTAGCTACAAGACGACGCCGTGAGCCCTTCACCCACTGGGACCCAATCTAATGGCCCACAAACTCCAACTTCTGCTAATTCCGTGACTTAATGGTCTGTGAGATCGCCTTATAACCAGGAGGCCCTGGGTTCGAACCCTGGCGGGTGATTACTAATGAAGAGTCCCAAACCGAGACTGAACACATCTGTTCAGCCCTGCAAGTTTCTCCAAATGAATTTAATTCGTGAAATAAGCATAAGTTGTACGAAAGAAAGCAGTCATTTTAAGAGAACAAAAAAAATATATTTGAGTCGTCGGCCAAATTAAACTTTAGACACCAGTAACTACCAATCATCGAACAACCACGAATTATCCAATGAGATTCACGAACGTAGTTCAATGTTGTATAGCGCTTGATTCATGTCAGTGAGTGCCCTTACAAGGTTACGTTTGCAATTCGAGGAGGATAGTGTCTTTCAGTATTGCCTGGACTTAGGCTTGCTTGGAAAGGAGAGAAGTTGTTCGTGTGGTGGTATAATAACTCTAAAAAGCTATACTAGGTCAACTGATGGTTCTGTACATCGTTGTGGAATATGCTGGAAGTGAGCTATTATAAGAGAGGGTAATATTTCGTAGGATATTGTTTTGCTAGGTCGCATCTCTCCCTAACCCAGATTTTGTACATTTGCAATTACTGGGTACTGAAACAGCCCGTGAGAGCCGCTGCTGCCGAGACGGAGAACAGTTGAAACGCTATGATTCATTGTCATCCCTGGGATACATTCATCACAGAGTGAACCACTCCAGTGATTTCGTGGATCCAGCTACCGGAACTCATACAAATTCCATTGAAGGATTTTGGGTTCGACTGAAAAATAGAATAAGGGCTATAGATGGATCTCAAAAGGATCTCATTTATAGTCATTTAGATGAATATATGTATAGAATGTGGTGCGACTTCCCTATTGACACTCCCATGCTGAATTGGGAAGTGTTTCTCTCCCATGTTCGGGAAAGATACCCATTGTAACCGTTTTATCATTTTGTTATGCATTTTTCTATAAATATACGTTTCCGCTTATCATAAACGTCTCTTTCATGTGATTGGTCTGTTCAAAGTCGTTTGCTGATTGGTTGTTACTGGTGTTAAAAGTTTAACTTTGCCGAGTCGTCTACTAAAAACTTCAATTAGATATTGCAAAAATGTTCATTCAGACATCTATAAAACACAATATAATCAAGCAAAGAATATTCTTTTCGATAAATTCCTCTTCCAGGCTCTACAATTATATATATGCATGTTTATATACACAGAATATTTTAAATTAGTAGTTAATAACAATATTAGCGTTTTTTAAATAATATCGATTTGTAAAGTATGATCAATGCTATTGCAGTTTATTAAAGATGCTTAGATTATAATAATAAAAAAGATATAACAGCGAATAGAATATCAACTAAAATTAGGGAAATTTCACAAAAATTCTGGATTATTCAAACATGGATGGCCAAGGTAATGATAATGACTGGACTAACTTCTTTTGGGTGCACACAAATATCATTCTCCCAGCATAGTATCGGTGGCTTAGAGACAGGATGCTCACCATTCAACCATCCGCACGGACTGAGATTAGATTCCCGGTCGACGCACTGCTAAACATAACCAACAAACAGCCTTTACCCAGCGCAGAAAACAAGGAAGGTAAAGTGTCGCAATCTCATCGTGTACAAAGAACATCACCGCTACTGGAACTTCGAAGCTCCTAGTATGAAGCCGTAAATTCTACTCGCAATGCAGGAAATGAAATAGATGTGAATGAATCAATGAGTTGTATGTCTAACAGTAAGGTGAAACTGCAATGACCACAATTCAAAACAGCTCGATACTCTACACGATATATACACTGAGTGTGTGTGTATAAAAGCTTATGACACCAATTGATTGAGATGAAAGTAGACAAAGTAGAATTTGAACCAAATAATGTATCAGATAAATGATCCACATATAAACAAGGGTCTCACCAACGAATCTTACCAATCCATCACATTAAATCGGTTTTTGGAAGTAAACCTATCTAAAAAAGATAATGCCGTCAATAATCTATTAGATGTGCCAGAGTTAAGCAATAATGTACCCTCCCCCCTCCACCTTCTCAATGTAGATGTTTTTCAGAGGTAAGATTTACTGTTCATAGTCATATTAAGAAAACTACAGATTTTCATGGGTTAGTTCGTAGGCATTTGATTTTTTTCAAGTTTGATTACGGTTTGATCCAGATGATGTTCCTGAAGAGTCCCACACTTGAACGAAACATCTGTCAACCACTCCCTAGTTCTTTTTACTGTCTGTTTCTATCTGTCTGTTTTCGACATAGAACTTTGCACATATGTGCGGCTGTTCAAGTCGCCACAATCTATGTAGCATGCAAAGCAAGAGAAGAAAGTAGAAGAAATGCATATTAGAGACAGTAAACAGAGGTGTGAGACAAAGGAATAGTAATAACGAAGAACAAAACAGTTTCATTGGAAATCATAAGTCACAAGGAGTGGATGCATCTGCGCCATTACTGAGAACGATTTTGAGCCATGTCACCAATTGTTTCCAAACATTGGTTTTTACCGTCCCGAGGACCCCAAACAGTCAGGAAGTCTACACCTTCCTACGTGGCTGGCTTAGACTAACTGCTGTAGATTTCATTGACTGGTGCCATGTTCTCGTTTGACCGCCGCTAGCTCTTTTCCAGCCTGACCCTATATCAGTTAACATTGCCCATTGTCGACGAAGGCGATGGCCAGGCTAGGCATACGTAACACATGTCCCAACCATCTCAGTCGATGTAATTTCACAGTCTCGTCGACTAATTTCCCCTCCCACCTACCTAGCACTCGACACATAACCTCAATATTGTTCACCTTATTATACCACTTCAAACGGGAGATAGAATGCAGACACCTATGATCGAAGACAGCTAATCTTTTCATGTCTTCCGCTCTCAATTGCCAGGTCTCACAGCCATAAAGGAGGACGGTAGGCATTTGATTTGTTTCAAGTTTGATTACGGTTTGATCGTAGCGGGTGAGTGAATATTCCTGAAGAGTCCCACACTTGAACGAAACATCTGTCAACCATTCCCTAGTTCTCTTTACTGGCATCAATCAGTGATCGAACAAACTAACACTCTTGAAACATGAATCTAATGCTTGCTATTGACTGGCTACAGAACGATGTTGCCTGGAGTTCTAATGAGATGTTGTGCCCAGTGGGGTTGTCCAGCAGTCGGGTGTGAGGAAATTTACTCACCAATGACACTGCCTAGTAGTAGCAGCTGGTATAAGTTGTGATTCATGGGCCATGTGGCAGGAAATGCCAGTGGTTGAGTGACCTACGCGAGAACGACTTGCAAACCAGAAAGCCATGGTTTTCAAACCCCTGTGGGTAAGTACTGATGAAGAGTCCCAGACTAGAAAGAAACAGTTGTCCAGTGCTCCACTAAAACTACAGATTGTAAATCTTAGCGTTTGTCATCTTTTAAAAACTAAAAATACTGCAAATAAAGAATGGTTTCACGATAGTCTTTCTTTTCATTGCCTACGTCCCCGAGCTTTAAGCTTTTGAAGATCCAGTAGCCTTGGTGCTGTCACTCTATGAGGTGGGGCTGCTAGCCTAACAATTAACCCTCCCTCTTTTCTGGTTGTATTACCAACTAGTAAACAGGAAGATGGTTAGAGGAGGGGGGTATCAGCCTACAATACTCAGAAAAAGAAAAGCTACTGAGAATTCAACGATCCCATGGTAGCTGAGAAAGTTTCCGTAGATTGTAGTCAATTGTAATGTAAGTAAGACAACAACTTCATGTCAACATGAACTGAACTCATAACATTGTAATCAATAAAATTGTAGAAATACATACCTTCGATTTTTTAGATAGTTGCATTAAAAATCGTTCATACTGTTCAATAGCATAAATTAATTGTGGAATAAGACGCGAATCTTTGATAGAACGAGATATCTAGATAATAAAAAAAAAATAATAATAATTCAATAAAGTCTAATAAAGTAAATTGTGAGGATTAGAAGTCAGTTCTTCTATACGGATGGATCAGCAACTAAACGGCGGGTCACAAAGAATATTTCCAACAGCCTGTTGCAGACCTTTATCAACAGCTGTCTTCGTTCTATACTCAAAATCAGATGGCCGGAAAGAATCACCAACAAGAAGCAAACTATGAAAAGAAACAAAACAAGAACCAATTGCCTAAGAAATATGCAGGAGAAAGTGGAGATGGATTGGACACTCACTCGCTGAGGAGACCGCTGGGTGACATCGCGCATCAGGCCATAGCTAGAGTGGAATCCGAAAGGGAAGTGGTGAGTGGGACGTCAGTTCCAGGTTGACATGGGGGAGATCATGTGAAGAGGAATTGAAACAGTATGGACTAACATGGATGCATGTGAAAAGTACAGCAGAAGACAGAAGCAAGTGGAGACGTGTAGTTGAAGCCCTATGTTCCACTGGGAACCCAAGGGAACAATAATAATAATAATGAGGATTACATCAAACGTTGAAGAGAAGAAAAAAAACAGAGAACTAAACCAGTCACGTCAAACTGGTGAACACTCTTCAACGTCATGAAAGAAGTGGAAGTGAAATTGTTGAGTTCGAAGACAGTGGAAGTAGTCTCGCAAGACTCAGAGAAATTTAAACCACTGGCTCATTATTGGATGGAATCTGTGGAAACTAAACTTGATGTTCATTCTTTTTCCTACCGAAAAAAAAACATTTTCAAAGGTTGGCTACCTAAACAAATCAATAAAACCTCTACAACGATAGCTGCCTATATTGTCATTTAAGATTCATATAGATTCGACGTCAACAATGATCGAATTTTTTTTTAAAAAAACACAACAGACGTTGATGGATATGTAATCATCCAGCTTTCGCCTAGCTTTACAAAGGAAATCGAGATTTATCTTCCAAAGTAACTAATACATCAATTTCCGGAGAATGAAATTCCCCTATTTGACAATATTTATTTAGTGATGAGCTTACTAATAAGCATTTAGGTGGATCCTTCACGTCAACGTTACGAAAAGTATTTCCAACAGGTTACTGTGGACTTTTACCAACAGGTGTCTTTGCTGACCCCATACTAAAGATCCAATGACCAGGAGGAGAGGATAAACAACAAGTAACTCTGTCGTCGTACTAACCAAGCACCTATTATTATTATTATATTATTGTTCCCTTGGGTTCCTAGTGGAACATAGGGCTTCAACTACACGTCTACACTTGCTTCTGTCTTCTGCTGTACTTTTCACCTGCGTCCATGTTAATCCATACTGTTTCAACTCCTCTTCACACGATCTCCTCCATGTCACCCTTGCACTGACGTCCCACTCGTCGCTTCCCTTTCGGGTTCCACTCGAGCACTGGCCTGACGCGCGATGTCACCCAGCGAGTGGCCTCCTCAGAGAGTGAGTGTCCAATCCATCTCCACTTTCTCCTGCATATTTGTTGGGCGATTGGTTCTTGTTTTGTTTCTTCCCATAGTTTGTTTCTTGTTGGTGATTCTTTCCGGCCATCTGATCTTCAGTATAGAGACAGCGAAGACAGTTAGTTGTTGATAAAGGTCTGCAACAGGCTGTTGGAAATATTCTTTGTGACCCGCCAAGTTTCTGATCCGTATAGAAGAACTGACCTATTGCCAAACAAATATTCTGAAGGAATCTGAGATGGATCGGACACAGGCTGAATAGACCGTTGAGTGACACCACTCAGCAGGCAGGCCCTCGAGTGAAATCCGAATGGGAAAGGACGAGTTGGACGTTGGCCAAGGGTAACATAGAGGTGATCATGTGAGGAGATGATGACAGCCAATGAATAATCGTGGAGCCACTTTAGAAAGATTGAAGAGAAGAGGATGAAATCTGGATGTGCTGCTAAGACCCGATGTTTTCACTCGGGATCCAAAGGAGTAATGATATAATATATAAATTCACATCAACGTCCAAGGAAAGATACAAGAGACGATAACTCATGAGACAGCTTCTGTACCAAAGAAAGCTATCTTTATTAACCTACCATTCAAGGGTGACCAGATTATGCAGTTGACAGCTCAAAGACTTCGGTCAGCCATCAAACGCACATTCTACGCCACCACATCTCTTTTTCTCACTTGCCGAACATTTTCGATCCCGGTACCTACGATTAAAGGACGAAATTCTGTGGACTCTACTTCAAACTGTATCTACAAGTTCACCTGCAGCTGCGGTGACACCTATATAGGTAGAACCAACAGAATGTTCCAATGTCGTCGAAAAGAACATGTTCCAAAATCCAGCATCATCCATTGCAAAACACTTATTAATGTCAGGTCACAAAATCAATATTAATGACTGCTTCACAATTATTTCACATAACTCTAATTCAAGGTTGGTTATTGAAGGTGATGGAAGCACTTTGGATTAATCGCATACAGCCTAAACTGTGTGTACAAAAAACAATAGACTTCAATCTTCGCCTACCCTGGACTACATGACCTATCTAAATATGATTGGTCATTAGTATGTACTTTTGTTTTTTTTATTTAACTGAGTAATTGTCATGCACTTTATTTTATTATTGTTAACCATGTTAGTTGTAAAGCGGTTGTAAAGAAACTACGAAATGATATCATCTCGCGAAATTTGTCTTCTTAACGCCTTATTCAAATTAAAATATTTGTTGAATAAATACACCCTGAAGAATGAACAAACGACAGACAATGAAATCTGAGTGGAAATATGCAAGAATCGAACAGATTTCTTCAAACCTTAAGTATTTTCCACTTCACTTAACCGTTTCTGTTAATATGGCCTCTCCATCAAAGCGAAGATCAATGAATATAATGCTGTTTATCTCCTTCTAGTAAAAGTCGGTTGGCCATTAAAATAACAACGTATTAATTACAAACTACTCAATACAGAAAATAGTAGTACAACAAAACAACAGCAAAATATTTAATTGAGTAAAGCATGATATAACCTACTAGAGCTTGAGGAATTCCTGAAGATGTTTGCTTCTTTGTTTCACAATCACTTTTTCCACTAGGCTTTTTCTTCAGACTTTTCGCTTCTTGAAAACCTTTCACTTTTTCACTTTCAGCATTCTAATTCCATATGACAGATGATCAAGAGAACAAAAAAATAGGGGGGAAGAAAAACAAATTAGATGAATTTATTTCGTGAATTCTCAATAGTACCAGTTAAATAGGACTACGATTTGGCAATATTAACGATGCAGTATGGTGATTAACGCCTCCAGGAACTCATCTTTTATAAACAGACATTTCAAAACCTGTATTAGATACGTGTATTTGATATAACAGTGAAGCAGTGTTAACAACTACCGGATACACAGATACGAAAGGCTCAAGTGGCATCTGCCAACTTATGTCATCTCTTGAGCAGATGTGATATAAAACTGCCCATCAGAGGACGTATGTAATACACAAAAACTCATTTTATGGCTGTGAGGAAGATACGAAAACGTTGGCTGTCTTTGACCACAAGTGATTACATTCTACCTGCGGTGTTAGGTGGTATAATATGATAATTAATAATACGCTTAGGTGTACAGTGCTAGGTAAGAAAGCCACCACCTTTCTCGTCGAGCAATGCTAGTCGACATAGGATCACAATAGATAAAGTTACCGGGGATCGGCCAACCCAAAAGTTAGCACCAATCAATAGAATCTTTGACAGTTGGTTTGACGGCCCCAAGATGCTCAGAGCCAATGGTTGGAGGCTATTGGTGATATGGCTCAAAATCGGTGTCAATGGCGTAGAAGCACTAACTTCCTGTGATCCCGCATATCCACCAAAAACCCTCATCTTTTCCCATGTTACTAGTTTTCTTCCTGCACATTTCTGCTTTTATTCTGTTATTCCTTTGCGTTTCCAGTGAGACCATCATTGAAAAGAGAGATGTTCCCTATACGTTTTTCATTTCATTGGCCTGCATTCCGAGTGGAACATAGGGCTTCAAGTCTCGAAATCTCATCAGAGATAGTATTATTTTTACGTCATGGCGTCACTAGCCTCACTCCAATCTTCCCTCGTTCTTCCCAGGATTACTATCGGTTAGGAAGCAAGGCTAGGAGGTTAAGGAGTGCGTCGGCTTGGAACCGAACTCGGGAGAACCCACGTGTCTGGCGAACATTCTACCAAAGGAAAAAAATCACTACACATATATCCCATTTGGCCCCTGCTGAAAAGATGTTACGTGAGCGAACTAACGGTTCCATTCTCCTATTCAATTGAGTACTTCCTTCAAAGAATAATGAAAAAGAGAAGCTATCGATTACACTCTAATAGCTCCAATCTGAAAATAACGGTGATACAATGAATGATGAAAACCGATTTTAGTTGAATTTCAAACCTACGTATTATAAACCTAGGGAATCTTTCCCGCCCTAGTCTGGGATTCCTCTTCAGCATCCTACTCCCATCACCATAAGCAGAGGCTGAACCATGACCTTTATTCATGTTATTAGCCGAACACATTTGCACCATTAAGCCAGTCGGGGTGCCACCGACAATTATACATCTCATCCAACAGCTGTACGACAATGCTGCATGCAGAACGGAATCCTTCGAAGTGAGGACAGGAGTAAGACAAGGATGGTTGGCTGCCTACTATCGCCAATGATTTTCCTGATTGCAGTAGATTGGATAATGCGACAAACAGCGGGCAATGAGGAAACAGCCATAAAATGGACTCACACAAAAAACTTGGAGGATCTGGACTTCGCCGATGATATATGTCTGATTTCCCACAAACTGGAAGATATGCAAGCGAAAAGCAACAAGTTGGCAGAAGAAGCATTCAGGGAAGATGGGACTTCAGGTGAACATAGAGAAAACAGAGGTGATGAAGATTCCTGGCCAACACCACCAACAGCAACAACAACAGACAACAATCAGCATAAATGGGAGGAACCTGAAAGAAACAACCTCCTTTACCTACCCACCTACCTGGGAAGCATCGTTTCAACTACAGGAAGACGGAACTGACGAGGATATCAAAGCAAGAATCGGAAAAGCAAGACAAGCTTTCACTACTCTCAAGTCTGTGTGGAGGTCAACAGCCCTACTCAGCATCAAAATGAAGATAAGATCCGGATTTTCAACTCCAATGTGAAGCCAGTCAGTGCTACTCACTATACGGATGGATCAGAGACTTGCACTGCGCGTCATAAAGAGCATCTCAAACAAACTACAGACCTTCATTAACAGTTGTCTTCGCTCAATACCACTCAAGATCAGATGGCCGACCAGAAAAGATCAGCAACAGAGAGGGATCTCTGGCAATGAGCGAACCAACACAGCAGGAACCGATTGTGAAACAAATAGGCAGGAAGAAATGGAGATGGATTGGCTGGCCATACTCTGAGGAAACAATGCATCAAGTGACATCACTAGACAAGCCATTGCTCAAGTGGAACCCAAATGGGAAGCGGCGAGTTGGTCGTGAGTGCGAGTGTGGGTGACTTGGAGGAGGTGATGTGAAGAGGAGATGAGAACGCGTGGGCAGACTTGGAGCCAGGTGAAGACTGTAGCAGAGAAAGGAACGCAATGGAGACGCACGGCTGAAGCCCTATGTTCCTCTAGGAATCAAAGGAAACAATAATAATAATAAAGCCAGTGAGTTGGGGTTCAATGGCCCATGAATTCCATACTTCAATGAATTCACAATATCTAGTGCCACCATCATCCAGTGTCATTAGCAGGTATTGTTCCTTACAAGAAACTTGGTGAAACTTACTTTTTATCAGAACTCCAGGAAGTCAATCCATCCTGTATTCGATCACACTGATGAACAGTGAATCAATCATCAAGTTTTCGTTTACGAGAAATTTAACAGATTTCAATAAAAAAATAATAGGCCTGATGCAATTTTTACTGCAAAAAACGAATTAGGTATACAAAAATAAAACAAAACAAAAAGGCTGGAATGATAATAAAGATTGATTACCTGTATGTAAGAGAATAATTCATAGGCACGTGGAGCTACTTCACGACCGTAAACGCGAACTAATCGTTCAAAAATAATCGGGAATCGACCATATCGTAAACGAACAATACGCAGATACTATTTTTTTTAAAAAAAAGAAAAACAAAGCAGAGGAATCACAGTTTCAATACATAACATGGAAAAACCCAGGTGGAATAATTAATGAAAAGAAATCCGAATTTAGCAGAAAAAGAACACACGGTGGATAAATTTGTTTTCAACTTCACAATGACCAGATTTCTCTCTAAGATAATAATGATTACCATACCCTTGTGTTCAATCGCCAGGAGTAAGGTGGAATAGTATTCGGTTTATGGTTCGAATCGCGTTCTACTACACCCTGGTTAACTTTAGACCAGGCAGCTAACAGCTCTATGTAATGATGAATACTTTGCAAAAATTCTCGTTACCAATCCATTGCATTAAATCCCTCATACGAAATTAGAGGTCATCTGCATTATATGATAATTTGCTTCACCTTATTATGTACGACTGCATAACATGTAAACTTACCTAGTTTACTAATAAAATACCTTTTTAGCAGCTTCCAAACCCAAGAAAAGTGGGAAGATTGGGTAAGGGGCTAGTGACCCTACCCCCAACCGCCACCGGAACTTAAATGCACAGAAAAAATATAAAAAATTCTCTGGCATTGGAGAGATGGAATGACGCGGGTTGGTGGAAGCCTTTGGGAAGCCAGTCAACCAATGTGTCTTCTCTTGACGAAATCGAAAAGAAGCATGGGGACATGGGATGTTCTCACATTGTCCGAAGCCAAAGATAAGAAAAGATACGATATATTAAGTGCTAGGAATCTGTGGCATAGTGGTTAGGACGCTCGCCGACCATGCGCATGGTCCGGGGTTCGATCCCCGGCCACCGACGCACTCCTTTACCTCGCTAAGCCAGAAATAATGCTGCTGAAGAGGAAAGGTTGGGCATGAGGGTAGCAACCTCATCCTGTAAAATAATAAACACTGCTACAGAAACTTCAAGCCACCAGCTTCAAGCCCTATGTTCCACTGGGGAACGTGAAGGGGAAAAAAGGAATCTGTGAGGGTGGATAGAATGTAAGCCAGCTCTCCAAGTTATTCAATGGAAAGTCGAAGATCTGTTCCGTTCACTTAGATGACATCCACGAGTATAACTGACGGAGCGAGCGGCTATCATTAGATCACTAACAAAACCGAAAGCTTTTACGCAATGGAATTCAAAGTCCTCCAGGATAAGGATAACAAGATTCAACTGAAAAGGTAGGAAAATTACACACTTAACCAGTGCTATGCAACTACAAACAAATCAGAACAAGAGACGGCAGATTTCTATGCACAACTGTAAACAGTGAAACATATACAGTGAGACAAACGATTTCAGATAACTTCAAGTATTTCACGATGTATGAAATCATAGAAAGATGTTCTTGTAATACGGTGAGATCATAAATTGAACAGTATCCAAGTTAGGCATAGAGTTTTTTACACACAACTTAATTACTTAATTCCATTATGAAGGAAATGTATTTTGATGAAGTCTCACAGTGTTATACAGTAATATATATATACTGATGACGTTTAGAGTACAATCATATCAAGTTACTCACACAACTTTCCAACTTTGTTTATATAATTCAAGAGATGAGGAATAATAAATCATATAAAGGAAGTTGGAAAGTTGGGTGTGAGGCTAGCAACCTCACTCAGTAAAAAAGTAGACACCACTCCTACTGAAACTTCAAAGCATGAGCCTTGAAGTCCATTCAGAACGCAAAGAAATAAAATAAATGAAAAAAACTAATCTAAGAAATCTATAACAACTAGTAGTCACCGATTTACAAGAAAGTCCATATTTCTTGAACTCAGTTACTTGGAAAAGATTTTTTTGCTTTCCGAATGCGATATAGGGTTTCACAACCTTCGAAGATTCAGTGACCGTAGTGTTGTAGTTTGTACAGGGGATGAGGACTGCTTGTCGTCGTCTCACGGCCAACCTTTCCTCTTCCCCAAACTTACTACCGGCTGGCTAGGTAGCTTATGCGACTGTATATCAGCCAGCAATCGAACACTGACCACGGCGCGTACCGAAAGAACACTCAACCGCTGAACCAACGACTCAGTATCATGGGTTTAAACACCCCTGATTGACAGCTAATGATACTACCTAGTTACCAAGACTGAAATAGAGATGAAGCAGAACTCGAAAAATGGACTGATAGGCTGTAAGTTTATTACTTCAATGAATAAACCAAATATTTGGAAACTATCAGTTATTAAAGTTACAAGCAAAAAAACAACACAGATATCCGCAGGCAGTATGGAATAGAACCCTGGTATTGATTTCAGTGGAAAGAATTCAGTAATAGCTTAATATTATTATTGTTTACTTTAATTCCTAGAGGAACGTAGGGCTTCAGCAGTGCGTCTCCATTGTGTTCGGTTCTCTGCTACAGTCTTCACCTGGCTTCAAGTCTGCCCACACGCTTTCATCTCCTCTTCACATGACCTACTCCAAGTCACCCACCCTCGCACTGACGACCAACTCGCCACTTCCCTTTCAGTCGGGTTCCACTCGAGCAATGGCTTGTCTAGTGATATCACTCATTTGATGCATTGTTTCCTCAGAGTATGGCCAGCCAATCCATCTCCATTTCTTCCTGCCTATTTGTTTCAGAATCGGTTCCTGCTGAGTTGGTTCGCTCATTGCCAGAGATCCCTCTCTGTTGCTGATCTTTTCTGGCCGGCCATCCAATATCGATTGGTGTTGAGCGAAGACAACTGTTAATGAATGTGTGTAGTTTGTTTGAGATGGTCTTCATGACGCGCAATGCAAGTCTCTGATCCATCCGTATACTAAGTAGCACTGACTGAATTCACATTGGAGTTGAAAATCCGCATCTTATTTTGATTTTCATGCTGAGTGCTGTTGACCTCCACACAGACTTGAGAGTAGTGAAAACTTGTCTTGCTTTTCCGATTCTTGCTTTGATATCCTCGTCAGTTCCGTTGGCCTGTAGTTGAAACGATGCTTCCCAGGTAGGTGGGTAGGTAAAAGAGGTTGTTTCTTTCAGGTTCCTCCCATTTATGCTGATTGTTGTCTGTTGTTGTTGCTGTTGCTGTTGGTGGTGTTGGCCAGGAATCTTCATCACCTCTGTTTTCTCTATGTTCACCTGAAGTCCTATCTTCTCGGGATGCCTCTTGTGCCAACTTGTTGCTTTTCGCTTGCATATCTTCCAGTTTGTGGGAAATCAGACATATATCATCGGCGAAGTCCGGATCCTCAAAGTTTTTTGTGTGAGTCCATTTTATGCCTTTTACGTCACTGCCCGCCGTTTTTCGCACTATCCAGTCTACTGCAATCAGGAAAATCATTGATGATAGTAGGCAGCCAGTCAGCCAGCCTTGTCTTACTCCTGTTCTCACTTCGAAGGATTCCGTAAGTTTCCTGTTGTGGATTACTTGGAATGCAGCATTGTTGTACAACTAATTGTTGGATGAGATGTATAATTGTCAGTGGCACCCCGTAGTAGCGAAGTAGTTGCCAAATCACCTCTCGATCGACGCTGTGCTGTCGAAGGCCTTTTCAAAGTGGATGAAGTTGAGATAGAGAGGTGACTGCCATTCCAAGCTCTGTTCAATGATGATCCGTAGTGTGGCGATTCGATCAATACATGACTTGTTTCTCCTGAATCTAGCCTGTTCGGGTGGAAGTTTTTCATCCAGGGCTTGTTTGATTCTCTCCAGTAATAGTTTATTTCTACTTTTTCATAAAATGACAGAAAATATGAAGAGACCATAATAATAATAATAAACCGGTAAAACTAACGGTCAACATACCATTAAACTACTACGGCATTTACAGTCATATGAGTTTAATCTTTTCTCTCATATCCGAAAAGGAAATATTAGAACAGATAGATAGCTTTTAATCCAAGGCGAAAGGCTTAAGTCTGTTTGAGCCACGTAAGGAGGTGTAGAGTCCCCGGCTGAAGTTCTCAAGATGTTTAGAATCAATGATCTGGAACTGTTGATGACATGGTTCAATAATTCTCACTTTTTTTATTCCTTCATGTTCCCCACTGGAGCTTAGGGCTTCAAGCTAGTGGCTTGAAGTTTCTGTAGCAGTGTTTATTTTACAGGATGGGGTTGCTAGCCTCATGCCCAACCTTTCCTCTTCACCAACATTATTTCTGGCTTAGTGAGATAAAGGAGTGCGCCGGCCGGGGATCGAACTCCGGACCGTGTACATGGTCAGCGAGCATCCTAACCGCTATGCCACCGACGCACATAATTCTCACTACTTTTCATCTAATTATTCTTTCTACAGAAAGTTCCCGTCCATTGATTTATGAAAAGTTGAAATGCTACCAAGTCATACCTTGTTACGTGAATTAGTCAAAGATACTACTCAGTTGGTAAGGTTGATGTGGAAAGAGTGCAATTTCAACCTACAATTAACTAGCTTAATTTAAAAAAGTAAACTACAGTACTTCGGTTAATAAGGCGACTATTCTAAACATCATCAAAACAGACATGTAAGGCATGTATGACAGAAGACAGACAAAATAACAGTCAATCCATACATCACAGTAACTCATCAATTAATTAATTAACTAACTAACTTACATATTTTGTTAAACGACCAAGTAGATTGAACACAGACGCTCCAATCTCTAGTAATGTATCAATATGTGCACTTGGTGCTGGAAGTGCTGTTTGCAATAATTGAGCTAATATTTCACCCAGTCCAATAAGACGTAGACACAAACCTTCTTCTTGTTCATTACCTTCTAATTTTGTTTCAACATCTTTAGACGCTGAAGAGAGAAAAGAAGAAACAGTTGACGAATTAATTGATTTGCAAGCAGACAATTAATTTATAAAACATGAGAAATAATCAATAACCATAACAAAAGTATTATTATTAGGACACAAACCTATTACGTTATGCTCACCAAGAGATAGACCACACAAAATTTGATTGTTTGTGTGAGGGCTGTGATACTTTCTAGATGTCCAGACTGAAGAGGGTGATTATCTTAAGGGGCCATCCCCCGAGCCATTGGACTTGAAGTCAGATCGACA